GCTGGTCAAGAACGCGCGAGACCTTCAAGACGAGAACGCGGTGGATCTCTGCGAGCCAGAGTATCAGAGCCAGATTGAGAAACTGGAGAAAGCTATTGAAGTTCTTGGGACGATGACCCACTTCGTGCAGTCACTGAAAAAATGTAATGAGCCTGTCAATAGCCCATGAGCGTAGAGCGGAAAACAAACCCTTTGGTGTTAAAACTTTAATTTTACAACCCTGAGAATCTTAAAACCATTTTATTCTTTCTGATTCGCATTAAAGCTTTATCTACATGAACTCACCTGTTTTTATGTTTTCTCTCTTTGGTTTTAATTTTTTTTTCTCTTGTTTCTTTGATATAACAAAAATGATATACTTGTTTTGAGTCCTTGCGGTCACAGCACGATCACGGGTGTTTCAACTATACAACGTGACCATCTAGCGTGCTCGAGATTCATATACGAATACGGCTTTTTTTACTTGAACCCGTTTTATGCGTTCTAGTTTCTGCCATGTTTGGCACAATTCTCCTTCAATATCCATTATTGTTTGTACTCGAAAAGCGTTTTATTATATAATCAGGATGCTGTTTATTTACACCGGGTGCGGGTATTTCAAGGAAATGCCCTGTGTATCCAAGTTTTACAAAAAAGTAATAAACATCTCAGTTTCTATAATATATGCCGGCCTTAAAACAATAGACACAGGCAGTCTGACAACCTAACTGCCGGCCTTTATATTAAAGTCCTACAGACAGTCCTACACCATAATCCTTCGCTCTTTCTTGATTGACGTAATAGTCGCCTCGCCACTAAAGAGAAAAAAACGATGAAACTATTTACCTGAGCTCAAACGTAACGCATGACTCTCGGTGCGTCGCACCCTTTTTCCCCACTCAGTGCTATTGCTATAAAACATGTGGGGGTCAGGGTTAGGGCGGCTTTTAAGAGGAAGCAGGACACACCAGAAGCAAAATATTGCCTATCTCTTCTGTCATCTCTCATCTGTCATCTCTCATCTGTCATCTCTCATCTGTCAGGTTCGCAAGAACACTTCATAGGAAAACTTCAGGTTAGTTCTAAAGGCAGCGAAAAGTGGTCGCATGACTCCACTACGTCACTCCCTCTATAGGCACACATTGATTACCAGCTGTCTATTTTATGTCACATTCCCCCCTCCCCCTGGTTCCTGCCCTTCCTATCTTACTGAACTTCATTCTGTCTATTCAACCCATCGACAGCTTCGTTCCTCTGCAGACACATATATTCTTTTTGTTCCCAAGACATGAAAAAATATACGGTGAACAGTTTTTCTCTTTCCACGCTCCAAAATAATGGCATTGTCTCCCATTACACATTCGCAATTTTCCGACCATCCAAGCCTTCAAAACTGTCCTCAAGACACATCTCTTCAAACTCTACTATTCCGACCATCCAAGCCTTCAAAACTGTCCTCAAGACACATCTCTTCAAACTCTACTATTCCGACCATCCAAGCCTTCAAAACTGTCCTCAAGACACATCTCTTCAAACTCTACTATTCCGACCATCCAAGCCTTCAAAACTGTCCTCAAGACACATCTCTTCAAACTCTACTATTCCGACCATCCAAGCCTTCAAAACTGTCCTCAAGACACATCTCTTCAAACTCTACTATTCCGACCATCCAAGCCTTCAAAACTCTCCTCAAGACAAATCTCTTCAAACTCTACTATTCCGACCATCCAAGCCTTCAAAACTGTCCTCAAGACACATCTCTTCAAACTCTACTATTCCGACTCGTTTCACCCTCTCTGACTGATAAACAACGCTCGATGCTGAGGGCGCCTTCCATGGCTAGACAGGGGTTGAGGGCGCCTTCCATGGCTAGACAGGGGTTGAGGGCGCCTTCCATGGCTGGACAGGGGTTGAGGGCGCCTTCCATGGCTAGACAGGGGTTGAGGGCGCCTTCCATGGCTAGACAGGGATTGAGGGCGCCGTCCATGGCTAGACAGGTGTTAATATTACTGGTGTCGGCGAGGTTAATCTTTTGACAAAGCTGTTTTTAAATGAACAACTTTACATAACTTTTTTAATGTCATGATTTGTGTGTGTTCTTTCTTTTTGCTAATATTTTATTTAGCACGGGTAGCCTGGCCATAGGTTGGAGTATCGCGCTACATATAACCACTTCAATATAATAATAATAATAATATAAGAGATTACTATATTACATTTTTAGCAAATTCTCTAGCAGCTGAGAAATAAACTAAAGTCTACTAAATTAAGCTTTATCTGGGGACTCGACCTATTTTTTCCACTGCACGACCCAAGACTCATTCTTACAAGATGCGAGCGGAAGTCAAACGAAAAGGAAAAAAAATACTTGTTGCAAGCACAATGATCTTTTCGTTTTATTTCCACTCAGGACAACATGCCCTTAAATAAAAAAACACATATGATTAACGTGAAGGATATTAAGGCGAGGTGAATAAACAATGAGTTTAGTCGAAGGGGCGTATTTAGGGTTAGTGTGTCCTGGGGCAGTTAGTGTGTCCTGGGACATTTAGTGTGTCCTGGGGCAGTTAGTGTGTCTTGGGGCAGTTAGTGTGTCCTAGGGCAGTTAGTGTGTCCTGGGGAAGTTAGTGTGTCCTGCGACGGTAAGTGTGTGCTGTGTCAGTTAGTGTGTTCAGGACAGTAAGTGTGTCCTGGGTCCGTTAGTTTGCCCTGGACCAGTTAGGCTTATATAAAACATTATTAGACCAAACATTATTAGATCAAACATTTTTAGACAAACCATTATTAGACACAACAAACAAATAATAGACCAAACATTATTAGACCAAATATCATTAGGCCCTAACATTATAAAACCAGCATTATTAGACTAAACATTGTTAGAACATTTGCCGTATTGGTAGATGATTAAAATGACATATGATACTAGTTGTGTTTGCCTGAGTGAATGAGTGAAGGGATGTTATGACTGTGTGAAGTGATGTATGAATGTTTAAGTGTACGTGTGACGGAGACAGAGCCCATCTGTCATAGCGAAAGAGCCCATCTGTCATATAGAAAGAGCCCATCTGTCATATAGAAAGAGACCATCTGTCATATAGAAAGAGCCCATATGTTTAATAGAAAGAGACCATCTGTCATATAGAAAGAGCCCATCTGTCACATAGAAAGAGCCCATCTGTCATACAGAAAGAGACCATCTGTCATATAAAAAGAGCCCATCTGTCATATAGAAAAAGACCATCTGTCATATAGAAAGAGCCCACCTGTCATATAGAAAGAGACCATCTGTCATATAGAAAGAGCCCATCTGTTATAAGGCTCACTTCATTCGAATTTCTTCATACATCTATGTGATGATTCATCGTTTGCCACATTGTTTCGTGCATCGTTACATTTCCCTGCAGTTTTAAAAAAATTTGCTCGTTGCGAACCCATTACCATTTTTATAAAACAGTTTTGATTGTACAGTACTGAACATGGATTCAGTCACTGTACTTTCGCGTGGCTTCATTAGGATTAGCATGATTTCCCATATCAGTTCTATGGTCAGGGCATGCTTCTGTTATATGCGTGCCCTGGGTCAGCTGCGTCCCCAACTCAATAGGAGAACAGCCAATGCTGTAGCTGTAACTCTCATCCAGTCAAGATTAGATTACTGTAATAGTTGTTTGTGGGGTTTACCTCAGAACCAAATTCAGAGACTCCAAAAGATACAAAATACTGCAGCACGCATTGTATCGCGGATGAAGAAATCTAACCACATCATCCCAGTTCTACGAGATCTCAATTGGGTTCCTGTGAGTGAGCGCATTGACTGCAAAATTCTGTACCTGGCGTACAGCTGCATAGATGGCTCAGCACAAGAACATCTCAAAGAACTGATTTATAAACATGTATCCTTGAAGAGCCTGCGGTCTTCAACACAGTACTTACTGAGAGTTCCTAGTGTGGATAAACACAGAAAAAAAGTATTACGGAGTGCGCTCTTTTGAAGTGATAGCGCCAACATTATGGAGCAGTTTGCCTCAATCTTTGAAGGGAATTTTAAATGATAAAAAATTATTTAAGAAACATTTAAAAACTTTTTTGTTTAAATAGATTTCGGAAAACCAGAGCGCAGTGAACATGCTAGAGTGGCATGGATACCAGCGCGATGTATATATCAAAATCAATCAATCAATTTAATGTACTAAGCGTGGTTTTGTTCACTTTACCAAGGTTTCCATCAAATTGAATATTTTTAGACAATGTGTTAAATTGCTGGATATTTAAAAAAAAAAACAACTTATTTTCTTCTTCTACAGTTTTTTCCCCCTCAAATTTGTTTCCAATGACTTAATTCCAGTGCCTTGAATTTATAGAAATTGGTGCATGAAATCTTGAAGGTAAATTTATATTTTAAAAGTAAAAACTCAATGTTGTTAATATTATCAAAGTTTATTGCCTGTTCATTTTCATTTTGTGAATTCTAAGTCTACATAATTCCATGCGGAAAACACATCTAAACTCTTGTTTTTTGGATCACGTGACATTGTATTTCTATTTTGTTGTGCCAAAGGTAGGTGAACTGTCAATATCGTTATATAACTTCAATGTCTAGCAATGTTGAGAAAGACAATAATTGTCAAAGTGAAGAACATACGCATACTTTATAAAATGATCCCGCTCAAAAAATAAATAATTCATTTGACACTTAACCTGATTATACAGCGTGTTGGTCATTGGAGCTTGCTGTGCATTTGTAAATGTTGTACACACAATCCGATGTACCTTATCTTTGTTTCTCGGATTCAAGAGTACATTAAAATTATATTACATTGGTTTTATATTTTAATTAATATACCCACAATTCTATTAGGAAAAAAAATTGTGGACACAGATAAAAATCAACAATGTACAATTTACAATAGATGAAATAAGACATGAGATAAACTTGTATGTCATTTATTCAGAAAATATTTAATTTCTTTTTTCTATTTTCAAAACCTCACCAAAAAAAAAAAAAAAGAAAAAAAAATGCCGGCAGAAACAAACATTGCTAGGGTTTCTCTTTGATCAATTCTAGAATGTAGAAACTTTCAGGAACCCGGAAAACAAAATTTTATTTGCTTCAATGAGTCCTTTAAAAAAAAATAAATAAAAAAAAGTCATGCATGTTCTTCATTTTGTGGTCACTCCAAAGACCCGAGCAGAGGTCGATTGACGTCGCTGCTGAGAAACACAGGATGGCGTTTTCCCAGAAGTATCTGGGCTGTCGTGGTAATGATCTCGTTTTTATTGGTCTTCCAGTAATCCTTTACGTTGTTCCAGACATTTCCCCACCAGTCTCGTCTCTCGGGTGAGGTCTCGCGGTTCACCTGGTTCAATACCTGGATGACATAGACATTTTCATTTAGACCTTAGGTTCCTTTTTTCTATTTTGTTGGTGATTTAGGGGTGGGGGGGATTCAGATGTTTTGGGGTGGGTGCCTGTGTATGTGTGTATGTAGGTTTGCAGTAAGTGCTACAATGAGACAGAAAATTAATTCTTTAAACGATCTGCTAATATTATGTTTTTTTTTAAAAATAACTAAAGCAGATCAAATTTCATGAAAATGTGTGTTTAGAAGACCTATTTTAGAAGACCTATTTTAGAAGACCTATTTTAGAAGACCTATTTTAGAAGACCTATTTTAGAAGACCCATTAAAGAAGACCTATTTTAGAAGACCTATTTTTTAAAGAAATCGTTTGATTCTTTCAGTGTTTGACGTTTGTATCCTTGCCGCCGATTCCTGCACAAAGAGAACCGCGTTTAGAAACACCACAAACGTTTCCAAGGCTTTCGAGACAGAGTGAAAGAAAAAAATTATACACATATTGGAGACGAAAATTGCGTCTAACTGGGTATTTGGAATGACCAAAGATTTGTTGTTGACTTTTAGTGCAAATAAACAATTTATATAAACTAGGTTCATTTATCGGGAATTACGTTAAAATGAAACGTAAATAAATTGGCACAAACGAACAATTGACAGGCTGTACAATGGTTCATCAGGTGATTGTAAAAACTGTTCACAGCCAAGCATTCGACAGTGTACATGAATGTGGTGTAAATTCGACTCTCACTGACTGTGTCTCAAAGCAAGCACTGCTAAACAAAAAAAGATATCAACTCTACCTAATGAAATCTAGACTGTTTAACCTAGGGATGAGTTACTAAGTCTAAATATATCACTTAGTGCGCAAGGGCAAAAGAACAATATATATATATATATATATATATATATATATATATATATATATATATATATATATTTCCTCTTTTGATACAACTTGTCACAAAAAGTTTAGTCCAAACTTAAAACACTCACAAATATATCTCACAGTGCGCGAGAGCAAAAAAAAAATATATATATATATATATATATATATATATATATATATATATATATATATATATTTCCTCTTTTGATACAACTTGTCCCAAAAAGTTTAGTCCAAACTTAAAAGCCTTACAAATATTTCCAGATAATTACATGGGAATGCTCAAATCCTGATGGGGAAAATTGCCATTAAATTTATTGAAGTGTTAAGACTGAAATTGAAATTTCCTCAGGCCTTTTAAACCCCAGTTCATGATACACTTTCTGAGTAGACCTTGCAACCAGTGAAGTATCCTCTTCAACACCAGGTACAGAAACATTGCGAATCTCCTCTACATACATAGGAGCCATAGTGATTAATACATTGATCGTGGGCCCGTGATATATAGAAGAAGAAGAAAGACGTTTTCTCAGATTAAAAAGACGACAGATCTTTGCCAAACAGAAATGGACTTATACTTTCGACATCGTCACTTTCTGTAACACCCATTTAATGTTGGAAACATTTAAGTATATCGAAAAAAAACCGAGCTAATAATCTAAGGTCGTCATTGTTGAGACATCTCATTAAACCTAACCTGATACCCAGTTGTTAATCTAAGGTCGGCAGTGTTGAGACATCTCATTAAACCTAACCTGATATCCAGTTGTTAATCTAAGGTCGGCAGTGTTGAGACATCTCATTAAACCTAACCTGATCAAGTGTCTCCAGCGCTCGTTCTACATCAGTGGCCAATGCCTCGCCGATTTCTCTCTCACTTAGTTCTGAGTATGCAGGCAGACTTGTAACAAGCCAACACAGGTTGCAGACGACAATGAAGGTCAGCAGGAATGAGGACTTCATTTTTTATGAGATCTGCGCCAAAAAAAGATCATGATAAAACATCGCAAAGAGATGGACATAAGTTTTTTTAAATAAGACAAATTAATTTGCATTCATTTTTTTTTCCGAAACAAATGATTTTTTTTTTCCGAAGAAGATTTTGTTGTTGCAATAATTCATTTTATATTCACTGACTATGACATATGTCACCACGTATGTCAGTGTGACTAGATTTGTTTGTTTGATTCATTCTGAGAATGCACCAGTTTGATGTTGTCAATGTTCTCAAATAATTGGATCACCTTCCATTGTACTCCCTGAATTTTCACATGCGTGGTATGGACCGTGAGCCAATCCACGATGAGCGAGTGAGAACTGAATAATGAAGGAATCTCAATCCCGCCCTTTTCATCACATGCACAGAAGACCTCATCCAACACTTCATCACATGCACAGAAGACCTCATCCAACACTTCATCACATGCACAGAAGACCTCATCCAACACTTCATCACATGTACAGAATACCTCATCCGACACTTCATCACATGTACAGAAGACCTCATCCAACACTTCATCACTTGTACAGAAGACCTCATCCAACACTTCATCACATGTACAGAAGACCTCACCCCACCCTTCATCACAGGTACAGAAGACCTCATCCCACCCTTCATCACATGTACAGAAGACCTCATCCCACCCTTCATCACATGTACAGAAGACCTCATCCCACACTTCATCACATGTACAGAAGATCTCACCTCACCCTTCATCACATGTACAGAAGACCTCATCACACCCTTCATCACATGTACAGAAGACCTCACCCCACCCTTCATCAGAGATACCTCAGATTAGCTCGATCAGTGCGAACTCTGTCTCTTAAAATTAGGACCGAAAGAAACACATTTATTCTGTTCCCCAGTCTGTACGAATTTACCAGCGTGCTCCCCTCACCCCACCCCCTTCCAAGTGGTTAACAAATCTAAATGATCACTAATTAAGTCATTATGGTCATTAAAAGAGTTGATTAATGGGTGATTTCTACGCACAGATAAATACTTTAGATGTCTTGTGTTTATATTGTTATAATTGTAAAATTTTGACTTGGTTAAAATATGCATTTATTTATTTGAGGAAAATAGATATGTACAAAGTAATTTTTTTTTTAAAATTGCTATTTCCATTTAATTCGACTAATAAAAGAATCTTATCCTATTTTAGCCAATGCTATTTTAGGGAATGACACAATCAAAGCTGATCATCTTGACAAGTGACAGCGATTTTTAAGGAACGATTCACTGACAGACTATGAGTGACAAGTTGATCTCTTTGCATTCTTAAATTATCTGGTAGATAACGAGATATTGTTTGATAATATAGGTGCGCTATGAATTACTGAGTCTGCTAAATGTTTTGTTGAAAGATACAGATGCGATCAATGAGATGTCTCCCTCTCCTAAAGTAAGTCATTTGCTCTCCGTGTCGTCTGCTGATGCTGTGCAATCAATACAATTTACATCTTAGCTTGTGAGTGAGAAGCCTTGACTTTTGCTTAGCAGTAACGGAAGCGCTCTCTTCATGAAGGTCTCAAGGAATTTGGAAAACTTTCTGTCAAACACGATATGCTAAAGCATTTCATTGCCTTGCAGTAGCTGGCATTTTCATCGCGTCATCGACTCGCGCCCTCCTGTTGCCGTGTCGTGTTTGTCCTCGTTCAGTTTGAGAGTTGTTGTTTACACTACCCAAAGGTTGATGTTTTGCCGTGCCTTCTGGTTTTGCAAGTGTTGCAGATTGTGGGCGTTAAATAGTTAGGTTTTTTGTTGTTGTTTTTTTTGTGTGGTAGATTTAAACTGTTTTCCTCAAACTTGGAAATATCAAATCCTCGGCGATACATCAGTATCTTACGTTGAGTCCAACATAGTGTCCTAGTTCTGTCGTGTGTGCCCTGTCAGCTTCCTTCTAATCTAACGTGATGTCATATATTTGTGTCTGTTGAAATTATCATACCTACATTTTTTTATCGTTAAATAACATCTTCCCCGCCACTATTTCTCTAATAATCTAAAGTCACACATAGTTTTACTGACGAAAAGAAATCAACACACTTTTTCGGGTACTTTGACACGGTCATTTAACACAATATAGAACTAAGTTTTACAAATAAATAATTTCTCACCCCCTTGACAAAGACTTGGTACGAGAAAGACTTGGTTTGATTTTGAGCTTGACTAGTAGGTAAGGACGTACTAAAAAAAAACTCCATATTTTATTGGGGACAGGTGTGATATTCTTGACGCCAAATAATTTATTCGGGGAACATATGGTAAATCTGGACTGAGACTTGGAAATATTTTTTTGTTGATAGAATCCAGCACATCTTTATTGTTTTTCACAGCCAACGCCTCACCACTAAATTGTATGGTTGTTATTTTTTTTTTACCCTAGACAAATGGCCAGTGTTTCCTGTTGATAGCATGCATCTTATTATTTGACGTGTCATTGCACGTGCCACGGATGCAAAAAAAATGTTAAGTCCCTTTTAAGGTTCCGCTGGAGCAGATATAGAGTATAAACATTATGATTTATTATGGTGTTACAACATTACAGAAATAATCAATTACAATTATAACCCTAAGGTTAATGATGAGTTCAGCACACCGTGCACTGGAGATTGAGAGAACCCTTGTATGATATTGAGTTCGATCTATATTTATTTAACCAATTTTCAACTTGAGAATCACTGATATTCGGAATACTTTTTTCCTACTTTGCGTCTTAGATAGGAGGGTTACTTATCAAAATTTCACCGAGCAAAAACGAAGAGTGTTCTCTGATTACTTCATTTCTTACCCCCCCCCCTTCCTCCCATTATCAAGCTGCTAAAACATTGTGTGGCATGATTCTTCCTAATAATATCCTTAGTCTTGTACTCTGGAAACATTCAGAATCAAAGATTGTTCATCTGCCACGTGAGTCATATCTTTTTTTCTATATTTTGAGAGCCAACGATCTATGTATTGATCATTCTGGGCCATATGTTTCAGCGGGGCTCTTGATGTAGCTGTGAATGGCTTTGAAAGGGATACCTCACTGGTTGCAAGGGCTACTCAGCAATAGTTTTATGAACTTGGGGTTGGAAGACAGGAAGCAATAGAAGCAAATGTTTCAAGTGTAGTCGCTTCAACAGCTGCTTCTGGAAGCTTGTTCCAGTCCCTTATAGTCTTTGAAAAGAATGAGGTTCTCCTGTACTGAGGTCTTGTTTTTTTGAGCCGGAACTGCATGTCGTGGCCTATCGCTTCCTAGGGGAAAAAAAAGGGGGGGGGGGAGAGGGTAAAGTTTCTGTTTAATGCTGGAGCAGGGGAGCAGCCCATTTTTTAAAATCTTGTACAACACGGTGAGCCTGGATATTCCTCATCGTTCCTCCAAGTGAGACCAGAATAGTGTTTCCAGCATACTGCAAACACTAGAGGTGTCTCTGTAGCGGTTCATGACAAAGCGTGCTGCCCGCCCGTCACTGGACCGCCTATGACATGTCAATTCTCTTCTGGGTAAATGTATCCCAGAGTGAAGATGCGTAATCTAAAAGGCTGCATAAAGTCTTTATCGGCATTTCCCCTTCACGCTATACAGAGATGCAAAATAAGTAAATGGCCAAAAATCTAGTATTGCTATAGAACCTTTTATTTAATAAGTGACAATACGATCTGAACGTTTCGGCCTGGAGCCTTCTTCAGCGAACAGGGCAAATAAAAGTACGACAAGAAACAGAGCACAGTAAAAAATTAAAAAAAATTAGAGATCTCCTTTGTTGTTGCCGGAAGTAGGATTCAGATTAGTTTCACCACTGGTCAACTTCAGCTTCGTTACTCCAGAGCTCCACCGGAGGGTCGTTGCGTGCCACTTCCGGAAAGGTTCCTTTTTATCATAATATCTAAAACTAACGTGGTGACCGCGGGAATAATTTGTTCCTTGTTCTCGTCCCAAAAGGTGTTAACATCGTCCCAAGCATCGCTCCAGAAGTCGCGCCTTTCTGGCCCTTCGAGGTGCTTCACATTTCTCAAAACCTGAACAAATAATAAAAAAAGTTTCTTTAGTTCCCAGGTGTTTCATCTTCCATTGGTTTACAATTTTTGTTGTTGTTGTTTTTGTTGTTGTTGTTGTTGTTTTTTTAATATCACTGTGACAAAAACTACTGATTCTTGGTGTGTGTGTGCTCGTGCGCTCTTGTGTGTCAGCATGTACACGTTTATGAAATTTTTTGTGTGGGCCATAAAAAGCGACAATGAGCCTTGAAATGACAAGTCAATTTTATTGTGTTTATCAGCATACATAAATATATGTTTGTGCTTCATGCTATGCTTTTTGTTTTCCTTAACGCAGCCATTATGGGCCTAGTATTGCCAAATGACTTTTTTTTTTGCTGGAACTTTGCAACACGCCAGCATTTATTTATTTCTGCAATCGGGACCACTAAGTGCACTGTGAACGTTAGATTGGATCAGGAAATTCGTCTTATGTGACGGTCACAGAACAAATTGAGTCATGAGTTGAGTTGGGGGATAACAATATTTTTAAATTGTAAAATTAATTAATTTTTAAAAGTGTAAAACAAAGTATTTTATAAATATATATATTATATACATATATTATATATATATATATATATATAAAGAGTCATAGTGTCCACTGGATAATGGCTTATCGCAAGCTATCGCTAATACCGTCATTTCAGACATTCGAGGTCTGACCTATGAAAGAATTAAGAATTGTAAACAATAATTAGTCTATATGAACAAAATAGCTAAGTTAGCTTTCTTTTTATCTATATATCTTTTCCAAAAGTATTTTAATGTGGGCTACAACTTCACAATGGCAGCCTGCTTATTTGCCCACCAAAAATCTAAAAAAAATGAAAACATCTCTTATAGTTTAGTTTTAACAGGGATCTCTTCAAAATTATTGCAGTACTCGAAAACTTTAAACTTATATTTGACGTGTTAGATATATAGATATATATATATATATATACATATATATATTTATATATATATATATATATATATATATATATATATATATATACATATGTTCCATCCAAAAAATGTTTTAATATATTATAATATATAGGTATATTAAGTTTTTTAAAATAATTACAGGATCCCCAGCGACCTTGAGACATGGAAAGTCGTCACAATGTCCACAAAGGACATAAAATCACTTTGTCGTCATTGAATGATATCCCATAACGTGCAAGTCTGTTTGTCTTCCAATCCCAGAGAAAGTATATTCACTGAGGTTGTAACCTCATGTACGCATAATAGGGCTTTGCCATTTTAATTAAAAAACAAGCTTCCAGATAGGTTAGATAAAATGTATTGAACCTTTAAGACGTAGCTCATCAAGCGTGTCCAGGGCCGGTTCTAAGATAAATAAGTATTGAACCTTTTAGACCTACCCAATCAAGTGTGTCCAGGGCTGATTCTTACATAAAAAAGTATCGAACCTTTAAGACCTACCTCATCAAGTGTGTCCAGCGCCCGTTCTACATTAATACTAAAAGCATCGCCAATTTTTTTTCTTCGTCATCTCGTTATGTCCAGGAAAACTTGTAACAAGCAAGCAAAAGTTACAGAGGACCAGGAAATTCAGTAAAATTTGTGACCTCATTTCGTTCAAAATCTGTCATAAAATGAAAAGAAATTGTAAAAAAAAAAATGCCACAAAGACTGTCAGACCTTTTTAAGCGTATTGAAATGGTGATATTATTATTTTTACATTTATACTTTATAGAGTTGTTGTTGTTGTTGTAAATATACATTCTTGATGATAATCCTTCTTATTCTTTGAGTATTTGTTTCCGATTAAGCGGTTCTACCCTAGCGATAAAGCAGTTATGTTACCTTGAATAAGAACGAAATCCCACGCAATGACGTCAGACGCCTTTAAATTATTCGAGTATTTCACTTTGGTTTGCATAGATTGAGCCTTCTAAGTATTTGTTAAGGAACCTACAGGTTTATTGAAGGAAAGCACTTAGCTGAAAAGTAGTATCCGAGAGAGCAACAAAAGAATTGATGAATTTATTAAACAGAGACTGACGGAGCTGACCTGAGCTCCACCAAAAGTGTGTTTTTTAAATTTCAGATTATTCATTTGCTCTTGTTTTTTTCTCGGAGGGCGTTTAACATAACCACTTAGATCTAGCCTGGTTTGTTTCAATTAGATCGTTGCTCGGTATTTATATTAAGAGCATGAAACCAATCATTCGACAGTTCACCTTCTCCTTTTTTTTTGTTCTTGAAGGTTCATCATTAGATTTAATTTATGCTATGTCTATATTTTACTGAAGTAATTGTGGTTTGTAACATATGCATTCTTTATATATCCTTATTGATTTAAAATTGCTTAAAGTAAATGTGTACTTATTATATAAATAGTGTAGTGTAGTGTATAGAGCGGTTGTTCTCACCCCTCCTAATGCTGCGACCCTTTAACACAGTTCCTTGTGTTGTGGTGACCCGGAGCCATCAATTATGTTCGTTGCTACTTCATAAATAAGTGTTTTCCGATGTTCTTAGGCGACCCCTCTGCAAGGGTCGTTCTACTCGTTTAAGGGGTCGCGACCCACAGGTTGAGAACCACTGGTTGAGAACCATTGGTTTAGATTGAATTGACGCTTAATATATTATTTAGTAACTAGCTATACCTGCCGCCATGCGTGAACTTTCTGTTACATTAACGTGACAAAACATGCATTCAGGTAACGTACTTCATTAAGATTCTCAATTAGTGACACCACCCCCCCCAGCCCCCGTCCACACATTTTTTTTCTCGGAACGCCACCAACCCTGAACTATATTAATATTTTAACGCCAGATTCTTATTTATACCCGGGATTTCCAACGCTTTACTGAAATGTAGACTCCGTCCGTGGAACAGAATACAATGTTACACACCCAACGCACCTGCGGTATTCTGGGGGTCAGTGGCATCCTTACGAATAGAAAAATTATTTTTTAGATGACTCATACACAAATCTGGACAGAATCTTTTACAAACTAGAGCAGCGATTCCCAAAGTGCGGGATACCGCCCCTTGGGGGTGCTGGAACGATCCAGGTGGGAAGGGGGAGTAATATCCTCGGGTTCATTTGGGGGGGGGCGTTGAATAAAAATAAGGCCTTGGTGAAAGAATAAAGAAGGTGAAGACGATAATGTTGAGCCTTCTCGT